TTAAAAGACTGACACAACAAATAGTGATTAGGTTGTCAGCAACCAAAATTCTGATCCATTGCTAATGGGAGTAAAAGATGGTACAATAGTTTTGGAAACTGCTTGTGGCAGTTTCTTATGCAGTGGAACAAATCTACTCTGTGATGTAGCAATTTCATTTCTAGATATCTATCCAAGGAAAATGAAAATATATGTACATTGTAAGAGTTGATTAACTGTTAATAGTATGTGCATTAGCCTTTACTCTGAAATAGGCATGCAAACTATGATTTTTCAAATGAAAAGCTTTTTATGAATGCAACTCACATAATATTAAATTGTATTACAAAATAATATTTTAATAACAGTATACTAAATAAACTCCTGAATGCATGTGGATACCTTTAAAGTAATTATCGTGTTTACTAATCCTTTTACTTTGTTATTTAACATGTTTCTTGGGTTGTCTGGGTGGCTCCTTCAGTTAAGCGTCCACCTTCATCTCAGGTCATGATCTCACAGTTGTGAGTTCGAACCCCACCCCACCCCCTCTGTTGGCTCTGTGCTGATAACTCAGAGCCTGGAGCCTGCTGCAGATTCTCTGTCTCCCTTTTTCTCTGCCCCTCCCCTCTTCACACTCTGTCTCTCCCTCTCAAAAATAAATAAACATTAGGAAAAAAATACAATGTTTCTTTAATCTTTTTAAAAATAATTCAATAATTTAAAAGGACTATAAATTACTGTATTTGTTATTAAATCCCTAGTTATTTACTTTCTTATGGTGTTTTTGAAATATATACATGTAATTAAGAAATATATGTATAAATCTGTAGAAATATGTCATTGCCGGGCATGTTGCCTGGTGGCTGCTGGTATCTTGTCAAATGGATGCTTAATGAATAATTACTGAGTAACTATGTTTTTTAATGTTTTATGTGTGTATGCGCGTGTGTGCGTATATACACACATACCAGCTATAGTACATGTGGTTTTAGAGACTCACATAATTATTGTTTTTCTTTTTTAATCTTTGCTATTTTTAAACTTAATACCTCTGAACATTGTATAATGTTGATTTAAACCAAGTTATTGATATATTTCTTAGGCTTTGAAGAAGCAAGTTACCCTTTGAATTTTAAAACTCTTTATTCCAAGTTATTGCAGTGTGACAAAAGCATTCTAGTTACTGTTTTTAAATCTAAAATGAAGTGATTTTTAAAGATTCTGCTAAATTAAGAAGAATAAAAACTTATTTATATAATCCTAAGTGTTTCCAAACATCTGCACTTCAAAGTACATAATTCACATTGACACCGAAGTGTAGTGTCTGTTTTGACTGGAAGGGTCTGTTATTATTTTTTGTCTGCAAAGGAAAGAACTGTAGAGCATCCAAGTGGGGAGACATTTGATTGTACGCAGTCAGAATGGTCCGTGACTGAAAGCAGATTGTACAGGAGAAACGGCAGCTGTTAAAAACTTATACAATATTAGAAAACTTTTTGTTAAAAACTTAAGACATGTTAATCTTTCAGAAAGAGCACATAAAGTAAAGCAGATTCGTAACAATATATCACCTGCTTGATATAAATTTCATTATTTACGATAGCAAGTAAAAGGAAATTACTGCTGAAAACAGATCTTGTATTAAATATGGGCCAAAATCATTTTATAAAACTTTGCCATCAATTTTTATATTTTATATGTTTAGTTCACTCGCACTATAGAATTAGTTTTGTTTATAGAGAAAATTTTAATCCTTTTCATCTTATCAGTGAACCTACAGACTATAGAATCTCTGGGCCTCTGAGGTATTTTTCCCATGCTACAACTGTCCATCTTTTTTTAATCTCTATCCTCCACTCACTTATTCCTTCTCATATTATTTTGAAGGAAGTACCGGATATAATATCCTTTTTATCTGTAACTTTTATTGTGTATTTCTTTTTTTTTTTTTAAGTTTATCCATTTTGTGAGAGAGAGTGAGTGAGCAGGAGAGGAAGGGGAGAGAGACAGAGAGAGAAAGAGAGAGGACCCTCAGCAGGCTCTACCAGAACCCACGCAGGGATCAAACTCAGAACCGTGAGATCATGACCTGAGCCGGAACCGAAAGTCGGACTCTGAACTGACTGAACCACCTGGGCGCCCCTTATATTGTATATTTCTAAAAGATCTGAACTGTTGCTTAAAACATAACCACAGTTTGAGGCGCCTGGGTGGCTTAATGGGTTAAGCGTCCGACTTTTCGCTTAGGTCATGATCTCGCGGTTCGTGGGTTTGAGCCCCGCGTCGGGCTCTGTGCTGACTGCCAGCTCGGAGCCTGGAGCCTGTTTCAGTCTGTGACTCCCTCTCTCTCTGACCCTCCCCTACTCACGCTGTCTCTCTCTCTCTCTCCTAGAAATAAATAAAAATATTAAAAAAAAAATAAGTGGTTAATTTGTGACCATGATTTCTCACTTTCTTCAAATAGACCCTTGGTGTTTCTACCTTTCCTCCTGTATTCTTCCTCTTTCTCTTCATTCAATTTATAAAATCATGTTCCCCAAATAAGCCCAACTCAGATGTCATCAGCTCCATCAGACAGTCTTTTATCCTATAGCCAAAATTATCTCCCCTACCTTTGTAACCTCATAAGTCATATTTAGTCATTCTGTTTAAGTATTTAATATATAATAATTTTATATTAAAATCAATTGAAAATGTAGAGGATACTTCTAGTAAAGAATATATCTACTAGATTGTGATTCTCACTGCTATGTCTTACTCATTTTCATGTCTCTTGATTTGTGTCTTCACAACACATTTGTATTTTGGTTGGATTTGTGAGCAAATATTTGAATTGTTATAGGCAAAAGAGGGACAGATAATAGAGTTTAATGTGTAAATTGTGTGTCCCTTCCAGATGAAGGCCAAATGGTGTGTTGTCACAAGGGTTTCACTTAAATCGTTTTTAAAATGTAGTAGGTGATTTTTTTTTTTTAATGTTGTTTATTTATTTTGAGAGAGTAAGTGAGTGCAATAGGAGCAGAGGAGAGAGAATCCCAAGCATGCTCCACATTGTCATACAGGGCCCAACATGGGGCTTGATCCCATAAACCATGAGATCATGACCTGAGCCAAAATCAAGACTTGGATGCTTAACTGACTGAGCCACCCAGGCACCCCTAAAAATGTGATAGGTGATTTAAGTTGTCACACAGCACATGTTGGAATAGACATGGCAACAAGAAATTATCTGACACTATATTATATTTGACTGTAATATAGTCAACACTGTATTTGCAGAACTTAATTTCAGCAAAACTTTATCTGGTAAATTTAATATTTTAAAAATCTTGATTTTGTGATTATTATTTTACTTCATTTATAAATATATTTTGGCTTTGTAATTGTATTATATATGCATGAGGCATGTATATTCAATGTTGTATTTGTAAAATATCATTATATAATTTAAGTCAATATCAGGAGTTTGGTAAGACATTTCTTTTAAAAGGATTTGTGGGGTGCCTGTGTGGCTCAATCATTCGGTTAAGCATCCTGAATCTTGATTTTGCTTAAGGTCATGATCTCACAGTTTATGGGATCAAGCCCTTCTCTCTGCACTGACAGCATGGAGCCTGCTTAGAATTCTCTTCTTCTCTCTGCCTCTCCCCTGCACATGTGCAGATGTGCGCATGCACACACTCTCTCACAGTAAAAAAATTAAAAATACATATATTAAGGATTTGTATATTACTAAGGCTTGAGAAATTCTGATATGGACTAAATATTATAGAGGTCAGAGGCAAAAGAAATCAATATTAGATGCCAATTTGGATTATGACTATATCTTGATTGCTTTGTAATAATGATTTTTAATTCATTAAGACAACTAGTCATTTGTCAGATAATCTAGAATTAACTTTGTCTAGGTATTTACTTAATGGTTGTTACTTATATATCCTAATTTTTTTTAATTTATTTTTTTAGTAATCTGTACTTCCAGTGTAGGGATCAGACTCACAACCAAGAGTTATAAATTTTATCCAACTGAGCCAGCCACGCACCCCTTAAATACTCTCTAATTAACAAATAGATAAATTAAGGAGTGATTTTTAACTTTTTTTCCTGAAAGATGGGGTTAGTACTTTATTCTTTTAGCTAATCCCCCATGTATCTTGATAAGGTCCTGAATTACTGCATATCACTATATCCTATATAATGTGTAAAATGTTTGGTATATTAATATAAGATCTTGTATTCAAATGGCATACTTAAGTTATTTTCTTAGGATAGATTCCCACTTACACTTTTATTTATAATTTCTTTTTTTTTAATTTATATTCTAAATATAAATTTAAATGTAAATCTAAATATAAATCTAAATATAAATTTATTTATATTTCCTGTAGGTGAGAATGTCATTTCATATGTGTTATTTGTATTACTTAAAAATAAGGTTTAGTCAAAATAGAAATGAAAAACACTTGTTTCCTTAGTTGTTTCCAAACCTGTAGCAGTCTATAGTTAATAGTTAATACTTTCTTCCTTACACAATTTCTTTAGATATTTCTAGAAATCTGAAAAACCTCTTAATACATATTTTATAATTGTTATTTTTAAAAATTTAATAAAAATTCATCACAGAATATGATATTGTGGTTTACTTAGAACCCCAAGTGATTTTTAGAAGCATGTTTTTATTCAGCCTAAAGATAAATAATTTTAAAAAACATTTGATCGATGAAGAAAATAATTTTAAATGTAGTTTGATCTTAATTTTATAAAATAACAAAGTGTTTTTCTAATTTATGGTAATATTTAGATTAAGAAAAGGCAAAATTGCAGTTGGATTGCCAGAGTACTATAAACAATATTACTTTATTCATATTCATCATTACTTTTAACTTAGTATTCTTGTTGAAAAAGATACCTTGTCTTTTAGTGAATGCAGTGGTATTATTTACATTAATTTGTGTGGCTTGTTTGAAAAAAAAAATGCTATAACTCCTTTACTTAATGGGATTCTTCCCCTGTGGCAGTGCAAACGGCTAGAGCAGGAGCTTCATCATCTGAAAGAGCAGAACCAGACTTCAGCAAACAACATGAGACATCTGACTGCTGAAAACAATCAAGAACGTGCTCTGAAGGTAAATCTCCGTTCCTTCTTACAGGCAAATTAAGGTTGTAAGCCCTTGGTGCCAGCTTTCTGTGCTGCATATATCAGTTGTGTACATTTCCACAAAAGTGAGCTGTGGTGTTTGCCAACAACCCCTTCTTTAAACACAGATACAGCACCCTTCTGTTATGGCATTATTTTATTTCATGTATGTGTAAATGAAAACAACATATTTTCTGAATTTTGAGTGGTGGTATATTAATACTTTGGGTACGTGTTCATTCTGTTTCTGATTTTACAATATATTGTTACCTTTTGTAGTTCATAAAACGGGGCCCCACACACACACACACACACACACAAATTAAACCATGAGCCTTTTCTTCGCATCAATATTTATTACACTGATCTTGTAATATTATTAACCCACAGAAGTGACTCTCCCTGAAGGGTATGTGAATATGTTTAGGAATTGAAATAGTACTTAAAATGTTACTTATTACAAAAAAAAAAAAAAAAAAAAGAATCCACTAAGACTGGAAACAAGTGTACATTTCATGACAAGTGTTCTGTTTCATTTATAGATCCAATAATCACAAAAAAAGGACATCATGGCATCATTTTGATTCTGCTAATTATGTATTTTTTCTTGTGGTACTTATTACTTTACATTCTTTTTTCATCTTTGTCCCAATTCTTAGCATAATACCTGTAACATAGTAGCGTTCCTGCCCTCAAGGTGCTTACAGTCTCATTAATTGGTTAAAAATTAAAACAAAATCAGATCTAAAACAAAAAAGATTCATCATTGTCATGATTGTGCAGGAAGAAAAAAGATGCTATCAAGAAAATTGTATTGCATTTTGTTGTCTTAAATTCTCTTTTTGCTACAGCTTACAGGAGAATATTGTAGAATTAGCAATATAACTCAACTATGCCAGGATTAGCTACCAAAATTAGAAAAATGGTGACATTTTGAAGTGGAAAATATTTTTAGTCCAAAAAGTGCAAAGTTAGTTTGATTGAAGTCAGATTTTTCTGCAAACGTGTTTAGCTTCATTTTGAAATTTTTATTGAGTAGTTAGGAGTCTATAATAACTTTGTTGTCATTGTTTAATGCACTTTCTCTTCCTTTCTCTTAAATTCATAGATAGACTAGAGCATTAAGTGGGAAAGAAAAGAAATTTAGATTCTTCATCATTTTTTAATTACCCCAAGGAATTTTCTAGAGTAAAATTTAGTATAATAATTTTTTCAAATGTATACTTGCAAATCCAAAGTTTTAAAGGCAACTTACATTATATCTGCCAACTTATTATCAGCATCAGGGGACAGATTTCATGTGCCATATATGATATGGCTATTCTTATGTAAAACAGACCTAAAATTAAAATTCTAGTTTGTTAAGTACATAGTAATACCACAGTTCTTCTGGATTTTTTCTTGTGTATTTATGTTAAATTGAATTAAATGGCACCTGCTGTCTGCAAAAAAGAAATGCACATTTCTAAGAGGTTATTAAAATTAGAAGGTAAGATATAGAACAAAAAACCCCTGAAAGTTTAAACCCAAACCAAATAAAATCCCTATAAAATAGAAATCTCTATAAATTATAAACTGTGTAAAGCAATATATAAACAAAGCTACGTTTGAATCATTCTTTAGTTATTTTGTGCTGTATTCCTCATGAGAAACCTTAAATTTATTATATATATTACATATCTGCTTTATTCTGAATCATTTTTAGAAATTATTCTTAGCTTCCAGGGATTTTGTTCTTTATTTGATTCTTCAGGTGTTGCATTCTGTATCTTCAAGTTGCCATATAAATTCTAAATAATAAGTTTGTTGCCAAACTGTCTAATGAATCAACTGTGTACTTTCTCAGCAATATGCCTGTCTTTTAGGGTACACTAACAAATACTATTTTTGTGTTTGTTAACTCATTCAATATTTAGTTAGTACCTAAATAAGCCTTAGGAAGAAATTTTTTAAAAGAGGCTTCTCTTGGAGCCTTCAGTAAGTCAATAATATTTCTAGTATTTTATTATAAAAAGTACTGTTAATTGATATCAGTAAAAAGTAAATTTGACTAGGATGAGAGCATAAAATGTATGCTTTAATTGTGTAATGCTGAAATTCTTAAAGGGAACAGTCCTAGTGATGTGTTTGGGAAAAATCCAAGTTAATGCTCATACATTATATAGAACTTTCCAATAGATTAAGGCTAAGACATGATTATCATACAAGGAAATACTTTTTAATATTATAATGTTCAAATAATAAATCTTTGTTTATTCTGATAACCTGGGGGTTCTTTCTAGATTGTTTCTAATGATAGAGCTAAATGGTTATTTTGTGATCATATACATTATTTTTAAAGTAGCATGGAATTATACCAGCTAAATTTGCTAGCGTGGAATTTTCCCTCCTACTTTGATAGTGTTTGTGGTTTTCCCTAATAACAAGTAAAACACATTGGCACATACAAGATGAAGGACTAAATTTATATTGATACCAGTCTATATCATAATAGTTAATTTAGAAAGAGCTTATTTTCTCATTTAAAATAAATTTAATCACATAAATTTTTTATGTGAAAAAATTGCTTTCTTGAAGAACACAATTTTGGATATTTAATATTTTTAAATAAATTTAGATCAGCCATAAATATGCAGACATCAGACTTAATAAGAAATTTTGCATATACTGCCTTCTTTTCCTCTTCCATTTTATTTATTTACCTTCTTTGTCACGCATCTTTCACTTCCCACAATTGGACTTCTGCACTGTAATTCCATTGAAAGCCATTCTTGCTTAGGTTGTAAGTGACCTCTGGTGATTAAACCTGTGAAACTTAATCTTTAGTCTACTTAACATCCCAGTCAGTGTAACTAGAACACATTTCAACTTTGTTGGCCCTGTCCTTTTGAAATACTTTCCTGTGGTTCTCTATTGTTATATTCTCATCATTTTTCTTCTTTGATTGCTGTCCTTTAGTTGGTGCCTCTTTTTCTACCTATTCCCAAGTTGTGTGATAAGTCCCTTATTGTTCATTAAAACAATATTTATTTTTTTAGAGCAGTTGTAGATTCACAGCAAAATTAAGCAGAGAGTACCACATACCTCCTGCCTTCATACATGTAAATGCCCTCAGCATCCAGCACCATATTGGTATATTTGTATACCACCATATAACCACATCAGTATACACCCACAGTCCACAGTTTATGTTAAGGGTCATGTGTCTTAGTGCTATACATTTTATGGCTTTTGACAAAGTGCATGACATGTATCTACCACTGCAGTATCATATAAAACAGTTTCACTCTAAAAATCCTCTGTGCTCTCTACCTCTTTATTTTTTTCTCCTCCCAATACGTGCCAGCCATTAATCTTTCTAATGTTTAATCTTAGTTTTGCCTTTTACAGAATGTCGTTTAGCTAGAATCATACAGTATGTATTCATTTAAACTTTCTCTATATCTTTTGATGGCTTCATAGCTTATGTCTTTTCAGTGTTTAATATTCCATTTTCTGGATATACCACAGTTTATTTATCTACTCACCTACTGAAGGGCATCTTGGTTGCTTCCAGAATTTGGCAGTTATGAATAAAGTTTCTCTAACCAGCTATTTGTAGAATTTTTTTGTGGGCATAAAATTTTCAGCTCATTTGGATAAATACGAAGAACTCGATCGCTGGGTTGTTTGATAAGAATGTTTAGTTTTGGAAGAAACTGCCAAACTATCTTCCAAAGTAGCTGTACCATTTTTCATTCCTACCAGTAATGAATGAGATTTATTGCTCCACTTTCTCATCAGTATTTGGAGTTTCTTTTATTGTAGACTTGTGTGTTCTGATTTCATCTATTCCTATAATATCACCTGTTATTTATGTCCTAACAACTGCCTCGTCTGCCCTTCACTTAGATATCTTAATGTTTCTTTAACCTCAACAAGTTTGAGAACAAATCCTTAATTTGACTCCCTAAGTCTTTTCTCCCCAGAAAGAAGTCAGGACCTGAGTCTAACACTATTGACTGTATAACTTAACATTTATTCCCAATCATATTCTCCTTTGTTTGTCTTTGCTATAGAACCAGGAGAAATTAATCACTTTCTCAGCCTTTCTTTTTGCCAGTACGACACAAGAGGAATTCAACAGGGTAGAGAGAAGTTGGAGTGTCTCTGGAAAAGTTTTTGTTTTCTTCATGTAGGACTGATGGAGCAGTCATCTTAATACCTTAAACATGTACTTGCTGCCTGGAACTGTAGCAACCATTTTAAAGCCATGAAGAATATACCAAAAGCTGGCCACTAACATCATCGAGCCCCTTAGCCAATGAGCTTCTTTGAGAATGTTAAGCACCTATACCCTGATTTCTTTTTCTGGATAGTTTTACCTCGTATTTTAAATCACTCTTAATAGTTTTCTATTATTTACTTCCATATTGATCAATTAACATCTATTAGTTAATGATACTACCATACTCCTTAGATATGTAGGGTAATATAATTGACATAACCTTCATATTCTTTTAAGCTGTCATCCACCACAAAGCAGTTGAACATTCAGTTCTGTCCGTTCACAACAATGATTTCTGTCCTATTTTGCTTTCTATTTTTATTATCCTATCTCTACCCTATGTCAAGTTCATGAACTAGACAATAACAGTTTCATTTTATTGTACTTCACTATATTGCACTTCACAGATAATACATTTTCTGCAATTTAAAGCTTTATGGCAACCCTGTATACTAAGGCAAGTCTTTTGGTGCCATTTGTTTTTCATGTCTTTGTTTTATTTTGAGAGAGAGAGAGAGACAGAGTGTATGCGGGGAGAGGGGCAGAGAGAGAGAGGAAGATACAGGATCCGAAGCAGGCTCCAGGCTCTGAGCTGTCAGCATAGAGCCTGACATGCGGCTTGAACTCCCCGACTGTGAGATCATGACCTAAGCTGAAGTTGGACACTTAACTGACTGAGCCACCCAGGTGCCCGTCAGTGCCGTTTTTTTCAACAGGATTTG